CTTTGTTCATTTGAATACTTTCGTATCATTTTGCCGGTGTGTACACTGTACGAGCTCAACAATCAAACACTGGCCACTGTGATTAATCCGGTGAGCCGCTAAACGCTCCTGGAGACGGCGTGCAGTACAGGCGCAGGTCAGTATCTCGATGTCGAACAAAGTGCGCCAGCAAAGACAGCCATTAGATGTGGATCACCGGGTCTTCTGTTTACACTTGCCGACATCGTACACACTAGCTGCACTCCACTATGCACATCGGACCGTGGAGATTGCAGATAGGTGGTCGGCCACCCGGTTGTAACGGCTGGAGTTGACTGTAAAATCAATGTCTGGTGCGTGAATCCTCTTCCTGCTTGGAGAGGCGGGTTTGTTACGCAGACGGTCTGCTGTGATGCCTTACAAATGCACTTGAGACTGTGCGAGAACTACAAGAGAGAATAAGAGGGAGCGATCCTTTTTTTAAATGATATTCCCTTTAGGTTTAATTTGTTGGACGTCCACCTGTCTCAGTTTGTAGCGCTCTCCCGCTCTTTTCTTTATGCTGTCGCTCTCAACAGCCCAAAAGTCTTTTAGGTCCAAGTCTAAGATAAAAGTGAAGGCGATGTTTCCCATTTTAGTTAGAAGCTGGGATACCCGGTTTGACCAATCTATTCACAAGGGCAGAAACCCGCAGCACTGGGAGGTGATGTGCTGCTGCTTCCCTTCAAGGTCTCCATCTTTAGCCTCAGCACCCGGGGGTAGAGAGGTTAAGTGGTGTAGGTTTTGGTGCCGAGTGCAGCGCAGGACCATTTTTCATGTTGTCAGAGCTCCCGCTGGGCCTCACATGTGCCTGCAGCTCTTAGCATCCAGAAGCCTTCAGTCCAGCAGGCGGGCCAGTCAAACCCACGCTGTCACTCCAGCAGAAATGACTTGAACTGTCACTCACTCAGACGGGGGCCCCCCGAGGTCATAAAGGGACACGTGCAAAACTGAGCATACAAATGCTGTACGTGCAAAGGCAGACACATGCAGTTTATGTCACAAAACAAATTGCTCACTTCCATATTAATAGCCTTCACCAGAGAACTTTTGCAGTACCAGTCTTGGTCTCAAAACCACCTTAAGAAGGTGTCGGTTTCGCATTGGAATCAAAGACTGAGGAGGACAGGATTTTATTGGTAGACCAATCGCACTACACTGTGTGTGAAATGGTTGATTTATTTGTGACATCATTAGTGCGATTGCCCATGCGACACATTCACACATATGAAATGACCCCTCTGCTGGGCCTTTTCAGGGTTTCACCAATATGCTCCTACGGGTACGCTTGTATATACAAAGAAATATACAGCGTACAGACATGAAAGAGTCTGGTCACGCTGTGACTTGGCCTCGCTGGCCTTGGACCTGGTCTTAACTTGGACTCAACACCTTAAAGTCTTGGTCTTGTCCCCCGTCTCCATACACTCTGTTCTTTGTCGTGACTCAGCCTGGGTTCAGCTGATTGGAACTACAAAGGACGTAAGTGTTTGTTTGAAAAACCAAGTAAAGCATGAGCATCCATGCAGGGCATGGAGGGGGCCACGTTTTGAAAGCTTCATTAACTTGTGACCTCTGCCCTTTGCTGAACTGTGACCTATCTGATTGGCACCTGCACGTCCACGTAGACAGGTCTAATCATTGTGTCTGCATCAGTCCACCCGCACCCAGATTATGCAAAAAAAAAAAGCCTCCCCTAGCAATCAATTTGATAAATACAAACGGTGATGAATACATTTGATGTTTTAGTGCAGCTTCCTCTACAAAATGTGCTCCCAAAGAGCTGTAAACAGGCGTTGGTGTGTATGACGGGTGGAGTTCCCCTTTAACATACACAATGAAATCCATCAGTCAGATATTGTTATTTTCCCTGAAACTTTGTCTTATGAGTGTAGAAGCTTAAACTCACACTTGAATACCAGCACTTTATTACAAAAACGACTCCTGAAAATCACTGAGGTCGATGACAATGCAACATTGTGTGAACTCAGATGAATAAAATCAGATTGATCTCTACGGGGAGACGTGAAACTATATCAAGAACTGCGACTACAACAGGACTTTAAAAAAAAAAAGAAGAGTTTTGGAGAGATGACACGTTCCACTGACGCTGTTTCTGGCACATTAAAGTGAAAAATAGACACACACTTGACTGCTGCATAAAAGTGGATAATAACTCTACACCAGTGGGATAGCATATAAAATGCATTATGACGAGAAACGATACAAAGGAAATGATATATTGTACGGTTAGTGGTAGACAATCCTCTCGCTGGAGTCTGAGATGACGCAGACTAGTAGCAGCAGAGCTAATGAAAAGTGCAAAAGTCAGTGTGACTACATATTTGTAATTTAAGGCACAGTGTTTGCTGCGCTAACAGAGCAATGGATTATTTGTCTCTGTTTTGTGTGTTTGAGAGGAAGAGAGAGAGAGAGAGAAGGTTGGGAATGGGTTGAGCATGAGCTGGATAGCTGCCACCTTCTTCTCTGGCTCACTGGGGATGAACAAAGAGACAGGAGGCTCAGGAGATCCATCCATCATAATGTCTCATTGCCTCTTACAGGCGCACACACACACACACACACACACACACACACACACACACACACACACACACACACACACACACACAGGCCCACAGCTGCTTTACCCCGAAAGAGCAAAGCAAATGACTCAAGGAAGAGCTTGTCCGTCTGAGAGGCTGATTGGTGCAGATGTAGAGTTGGTGGGAAGTAAAACCCTCAGTAGAACATCACAGCCTTTTAATTAACCCCCTCATTTACACTCCCTCCACCTACACAACCATTTCAAACAGTCGCGCTGTTGCTGCCCACCACATGGGAAGCCCTCCGGCCGCTACGCGTCAAAACCGGAACAAAGTGCGTGCGGACAAAGACGTCTCAAGGTCAAAAGCCGCCCGTTCGCTATACGCTCGTCCAAGAAAGAAGGTTTCTTTTCAATGACGTTCTACTTTTTGCATCCATCTCTCAGGGCCCTGCTTTCAGGTTGTGCCCAGCCCCCCACGGTCTCAGACTGTAACCCTAGCCCCCCTGTAATTAGTCCTGATCATGCTCAGGACCCTGTTTAGCAGCGATTAACCCTGTCCCCCATGCATTCCGACCCCCCCCCCCCCTTCACCACGCCTCAGATCCTGCAGATAAAAAAGGGGTGGAAGAAGAAGAATGGCACCCACTCCCCAGAGGGACAGGCCTATAATCAGCCCTCCCACAGCCACACAACCTGTCTTCTGCCTGGAGGGGGACGGTGTGTGTTTGTGTGTGTGTGTGTGTGTGGGGAGGGGGGGGGTCACAGACGGATGGGTAAAGTGAGACAAGGTTGATCCCCCACCACCAGCTCTTTTTCCTCCTCGAGTCAATGCTGAGTGGGAACGGAGAAGGCCACAGCACAGCGAAGGATCACGGCCGACGTCGTCGAGTTACCGTTATTTGGTACCGCGAAGCCGCTGACGCAGCAACGGTTTCGGTGAAACGCCTCCAAACTGATACACAAACATACATCCACACTCGCCAGCGATTGGGAAGTGGCGTTTGGGAGGAGTAGATATCTGAAAAAATGGTAATGCGGCATCCATTTGCACGAGTCATTGGCCCGTGCACCGAAGCCATTTTAAAAGCACCGACATTTCACAGCGCACCACAATCTCACCACGAGCCAGTACCTGTATGTTTGTGTCTGGGGGAGTATATAACCATTAAATCCAAATTAGTAAAGTAAACTATCAGCGCATTCCATTATGACCTTTGTAATAACCTTGTAAATTTCACTTTCAATTACTATTCTGTCTTCTATATCTTTCTATTCTGAAATGTACGAAATGGGTCAATCTTCATAGCCGGATGAGTAAAATTGGGGTAAATTTGGAAGAAGAAAAGGTCAAGTAGCTGCATCCCTCACTTCAGCTCACACAGATAAATGCACACCGTCATTTTCCAATATTATCAGAAATGAACAAACAAAGTGAAGAAGTTCTTGGGATTTAGTGGATCTGTTTTCCTCTCAGTTACACCAAATTAATCAAATCTTATATAGTCATATTTTTTTATTCCACCTCACTACTCACTACCACCTCACAAATAATTCAAGATGTGTTGAATACAAACAAATGAACAAGTAATTGACTGAAGTCTAGTAATCCTGTTTCCCACTTTATGTATTATCAAGAAAAGATGCAAAAACATTCCAATAAAGAAATATCCTTTCTCCCCCGTCCAGTCATCCTCTGGTATAAACATCCACAACTGGCAAAAATTCCAGCCCTATCAATTTTTAACGCACATGTATTTCCTGATTGTTTGACCATGTAGTTGTTCGTTTCCATTTAGAGAACTGACGATACAGGTCAGATTTATCCACATTAGGCAAATTCTTACTTTCACACTTTTCACAAAAGATCAATTCAAAGTTCTTAATCATTAACGTTCAAAATCCGTATGTTCCTTCGCCCAAATACAAGAGTGCTCTTCCATCTGCGGGGGGACGCGCGGCACCGAGCAGGTTCAGGTGCCCGGAACTCCGCACCAGTCAAGACGCGCGCATTTTAATTTCTATTTTCTATTATCTATCGATCTATTATGAGCTCTATATAACTCAAATTAACCATTACAGTAACGTGTGAACGACTACATGACCAAGTCCATTGACGCATTCCGCTCAAAATGTCACCATAGAACGACTTATTTTAAAGCTCAGCATGCGCACTCGATTTATTTCCTCATCTGTATTTCTCATATTCCTCACTGCGACTTTCAGTCAGTCTGTTACTCTGTCTGTTAGTCTGTGTTCTAATGCCAGATACTTTATTTAATTTATGTTGAGCGAATAAGTACATTTTATTCATAATCATACCGCCGCGCGTCTCTCTAACGCCGTGCACACCGCCCGCGATTCATGCGTTCAAGTCGTGTGGTAAGTCAGCGCGGTCACATCGTCGCCGGTAAAGAGTGGAGTATCGAACACTTACCGATCAGCATCGTGCGTCCAGGACAGTATCCGCGTCTCTCCAGCTCGGCGTGTCACCGTGCGTAAAAACGGTATCAATCTTACGCACTTTTATCTCAACGGAAAGGAGTGCATGCACAACGCACAGGTGCACGCCGTCCAGTAATAGTGCAGAGCCCCCGGAATCTATTGGACTCGCTTCACATTGACTCGTTCTCCTCTCTCTCTCTCTCTCTCTCTTCTTTCCACTTATTTTTGCTAATATTTTGTCCCCCCGTCTTCGGCGACCAATCCCCAAGAAATCTCCGATCCTATTGATGCGCGTTATCCTCGGTTAAATCCTCCTGCTCGTGCTGCTGCTCCGCTCGGCCTGAAGGAGGCGAGGAATGGGTCTGGTCTGCTGGAGAGGGGTTGGGTAGAACTGCTTGTTTCTTCTCCCACCCTCTGTTTCTCTCTCCTTGTCATCCCTTTCCTCTGTGCAGTCTTACATCGTTCACCCTCCTCCTCTCAGTGGGAACCTTTTTTTTAAATATCTTGACAGGAATGCACATATGGGAAAATTAGTTTTTTCCCCCCCCTAGTCTCCATACCTGTACAAGTTGGCACTACATTAGCCTTCCTGTCATATTGTCTCACAGGTCAGCCCTGTCACTGATGTTTCCAGACATATGTTTGCGCTGCCATGCAGCCAAAGAGGAGAGTGGAAACAAAACACCAGGTGCAGAGGGAAGCATCAAGCGGCTTCATGTGGCAGAAGCAGGACAGCAGAACATTAAGGAGGAAGAAGAGAATATTTTTCTGAGACAAGTCTACGTCCCGGTCTCTCGTAGATTTGTGTGCACTTTTTAGGGCAACTTGCGTGTTTGCACATCAGTGTGTGAGCGAGAGCGACGGGAGGACGACTGCAAGCGATGGTTCCTCACAGCCTCGCCGGTCTGCTCCTCCTTTGTGTTTTTTCTTGTCGACGCATAAATTGGTGAAGCTGACACATATTCAGGGAATTCAGAATTGGTTCGAGAGCACCGAGCGCCTGCTTGTATTAAATTTGTTCGAATGGCTTGCATGTGTGTGTGTGTGTGTGTGTGGAACGAGAGCCTTGGTGCAAAGCTAAGCTGTCCTGGAGCTCCTCCAAAGCACGTCTCCCAGGGCGCTATCAGGAACTTCATTACAGCGTCACGTTGCTCCCTCTCTGCCTCTCCTCAGCTCTTAGATCATTTCGCCTTCTTTCCCCATATCTTCTCTTATACCTCCTTCCTCCTCTCACCCTCATGCCCTCCTCAAACTGTGTACCCATCTAATCGTACACTTGTCTCTGACTCCGTCCCCCTCCGTCTTCATCTCCTGTTGCTCTTTTTGCTGGTTTGGCAAAAATGTGTCAAAAAGGTCTTTAAAAACACCTGTCAATCGTTCCTGACAGCGCAACCAGCGTTAATAAACTTAATTTATTGTCTCTATCGTGGATTGGAATGTACTGTACATTCATACAAATACCCTGATTCCGCTGTTCATCAGTCAGTTTGTTGTTGTGCAGACCGAGTTCTCCGGTAAAGGATCACGTTGCTGATGGAGGGTTCCTCTTAAACGTGAACTATTGCTCTCGACAGAGTGTTACCTTTCCCCTTCAATCCAGTTTCCTGTCTGTTGCCCCTCACAGAGGCAGCAATGGAAGCAGCCCCCCCCCCCCCCCGGGGCAGAGTGAAGGACAAGGGTGCAGCTGCCCTGCTGCCTTATGCCAACCGTCGGGTGCGCTGGCTGGCACAGCAGAGCCGGGTCCAATTAGAAACATGGGATCGGCTGCAGTCTTTACATCAGTCAGCCACAGCCAGGATGATTTGTTCTACTTAAAAAAAACGGTGGCTCCAGTGCATTCTGAATATGTGGTTACATTTAATAACATTCATTGAACTGAATGACAAAATGTCTACAAGCTTTTCACTGGAGTTGTACGTTTTGAGTTGTTTAATCTTTTTGTAACCTTTATCAAAGTTGCTTTGTTGCCTGAACTGCCGCAGGAGCAAGTGTCTGGAGTCAAAGTCCTGCCCCTGTATGCCCACCAGGACCCCTACAACTCACGTGCTTCATACAACGTTGCCAGGCAACATAATCCAGGCGTTATTGTAGTACTGAAACAATTAAAAAAAAAATGTTTTTATATGATTTTGCAGGATTTACCAAGAAGGAAGAACACTTATTTAGTAATGCAACACATAGTTTGTATCGTTCACACAGCCAGCTAAGAAAGGGACTTTGTCCTGGTAAAACATATGCTTTTACCAAACTTGCTCATTTCAAGTTGCCATGGTGCAAGCACTGTCGTGCATGTTTCTCTCGGCTGACGGCGAACCTGCAGTTAACGCTGCTGGCTTTTAAAACTAACGGTATTAACTGAGTTGCTGAGTGAGAAGTCTCTATGGTGACGAGGGCCAGACCCTGGGGAGCAGAGAAGGTCAAGCAGTCGCACTCAATCCTCACGAAATTGTGTCTTGCTTCCGCCACTGTGCTTCTCTTTTAAGTCGGCTGGTAGGATTCAGGGCTGTGTTTCAACGCCACACGAAGCATGAGATTTGCGATGAAAAAATACGCACAAACAGAAATGTCGATGTCTGTTTACGATGTGATTTCGAGGATGGGAGGGTAAGGCGGAAACCACCGGGGGGGGGGGTTAGCGGCTTGCGATTATCATGCAGAGTGCGCGTTCGCTGTTGCGTGCCCGCCCTGTCGCCGCGGTTGGCTCGGGGCGGATGGGCCTGCGAGGGCGAGGTGGGGGTATGGACAGGTGGCAGAGACGGACGACAGCGTGACGGCGAGCACGCGAGACCCCGGCGGGTTAAAAGGAAGCGGAGGCGTGAAATATGGGGATGGCTGCTGTCACCTGAGAAGATGACAGCGCCTCGCGAGTCTAATGCCATGTGACAGATCTTTAGCGGTGGCATCTGGGCGCCTCCACAACATCCACCCACCCACCTCCGCTCTCACTTTTGCCCACATTCTCCTCACATACCCCAACTTGCGTTGGTCATTAGCCGACGGCGACAAATCCCCAGAAGCCGACTCCCTGGGGCTGATGGGAAGTTCATCTAGCTGCCTCTCAGGAGCAGCCTGATCAATACCTGTCAGCTTCCCCGAGTCCAACTTTTTGTTTTTCAATATGCAGACAAAGTGAGATTGTGATGAAAGTGAACCTGTGTGTGTGAGAGTGTCAGTGTGTAGGTTTGAGAGTTGTGTGTTTCACTAAACAAGATGGATATTGATGCATAGCTGAAGATTACGTTTTTCATTCTGCTGATAACAACGTTGTACGGAGGTCACATATGTAGTCCGCCAAAAAAATATGCGGTGCCTCCGTTTATGAACTTGTGCAGCAATTTGTGACAAATGCAAATGTCTTTGGAAATGCTTTATTTCTGATCACCCAACCACATACCAGGGTGTAATGAGTGACAGGCTAATTTATGAGCCATCGACGAGGAAGCACTTTCTCTGCTGTTCCAAGCCACCGGCCTCCTCAATTAGAGCTGCCGCTGCCAACCTGCCGCTGAGGCCCGTCTAGGTGATGAGTGGCAGCAGCTCACGAGGCAAACAGCCATCTATCTTCTTCCCCCCTGACTCTCTCCCTCAAAACAGCTTTCCGTCTTCCATCAGCTCTCTATCTCTATATAAATATATATATACATATATATATATATATATTTCTCTCTCGCAAAGTAAAATCTTAGTCTAACGTAAACTCTGCAAATTCTTTCTTTACTGCTGAAAAGCTGACACCAAGATGAGCTCTCACTCTCTAAATTGACGTCTCTCCCTTCACTGCTCTCCCTCTTTCTCTCAGTCCCTCCAGCAATTTGCTTACTTCATCGGGAGATTTCTTTTTCTCTCTCACTTCTCTCACCCTCTCTCTCTGACGAACAAACCAGTGGAACGAAGAGCATTGTGAGGGAGCATCCTTGGCAGCGTGGCGGCTCGGCCTGTTCACTGACTGACAGAGAGACTAACTAAGGAAGTGACTGACAGGGGGTTGAAGGAGGACCTACAGGGTGACTGTGCGCAGCGAAGGTAATGTGAAGATGGGTGGACAAGAAGGACAGCTGCTTGAGGGTGACAGTGTAAGAGCCCCTCTCACATAATTCCCCCCGATGGCAGTTTAACAAGGGGTGTTTTAGGTGATTAGGTTGTTGGTCGACTGCCGCATACAAATAATACTCATGTGCTCTTGAATAATGTTTAACTCAGTCTCACAACACACAGAAAAATGTGTTTTGTAGGTTTCTCCCGCGTTGTCTCAGCCCACTGCCTTATGTGCAAAAAAGATCTTAATAATAATACATAATAATATAATATAATAATATAAACAAAACTACAAAAGTTTTGAATTGGTCACTTCAATTTAAAAGTTACCATAAAGCCTCGTTATTAGACCAAAAAAATTACATATTCAATTTCCTATATGTGGGCTCTGTAGAAACATCTTATCCAACATTGCGATATCATGTAGGTTGTATGTTTATTGGTCCCAAAGAGAAAGTCTAAACAAGCGACAGCCCATTTCAAAGAACACAATTTGATTGAGAAAAACTAATTTGTCTGTTGTCCTCCACTTTTATTTCATTCAGCACTACTTTCCCTGTGTGAAGGAATTACAGAATACATTTATTACAAAGTTATTAAAGTAACAAGAGGAGAAATAGCCTCCTCCTTTGTCTTTTCAGATAGTCAGATAGTAAGAATGTAACACATCATGAGTGCAGTAATTACGTTTTTTGTTTTTTTTCAGTTGTTTGGTGATATGAATCGAAGAGCTCAATAAAATGACTAAGTAAGTTATGCTTAACGCAGGGACTCTCAACAACCAGACGACCCATTGCAACATTGTTCTTTAAAGCTGTGATCATTCATTGTTTATTACCCAGTTAATACAAGCCTTACAAACAAGCTATTAAACTCCTTATGAAGCTTACAAGGAACCATGTCATTGTATTGTGACTATTAATGATGCACGGCCCTGTCCTTTCAGTTTGGCTTAAGGTTTGATATGAATAGACAACATACGGTTTTGATCCACCAGGTTTCCCCTTAACACAAGACATGAATGTTGTGGGTGATAGTTGGCGAGACTGTGAGCAGCTAACAGTAAAAGATCAGATGACCGTATCTAAAATGATTGATCTGATGCACTAAAAGCACAAACATGTCTGTTACTAAAATGTCCTCATCTCGCGTTGTGTATTTGTACAAAATACGTTGTGCACATTGTGTCAAATACTCTGATCATGTGACTGAATCCCAGAGCTGTCATCTCAGCATGACATTGCAGAGGTGAAGTGTGTGTGTGCGTGTGTGTGTGTGTGTGTGTGTGCTTACAAGCTCTCCCACCTGCACAACCCTCACCTCATCTCAACAGGAGGACACTTCATTTAGCATCACTGTCAAGTCCGGTTTCACAGACAGACAACAACAACAAGAAGAGAGAAAGCCAAAATGTGTGTGTCACGGAGGAAGAGGGAGTCGAAAGGGAAGAGGAGTAGATGGGAACCCTAACATAAATAAATCATCAATGTATTTCGTTGCCTTGGCTTGGTTTCACGAGTGGGAGATGAAGGAGACGAGAGAGAGAGAGAGAGAGAGAGAGAGAGAGAGAAGAAACTGCCGGCTAAGAGGAACGAAGGCAGGTGGGAATCCTAATGTCTGCTTCGTTCCCCAAGTGGAAAAGGAAATATACTGTAAAGGCATCTTCAGTCATTATGACGTAACTGCTGCAAAGAATCACCGGACGCTTTGGCTGAATGAAAGTCGGTGTGAGAACTCACATACTGTACATTTTATATACTTTGCATAGCTGAAACACAGAAACCTTTGAAAGTATTGCCGTTGTTTGCCTTTATTTTTGTTATTATTTTAATTCTCAACTAGTGGTGGACTACAATTCCTTCTTCCTTAAATTTACCTTTACACACCTCTTTTTCTAACGTAAATTCATCTGTTTCGCTGCGCGTAGGAAAGAAGTTCATCACGTAGAATATTTGCGGCTCTGAACTGCTTCCCCAAGCCAACACAGCCCCAAACAGAACATGGATGGGAATGGATGGGAATGCAGAATAGGGACCAAATGACTGTTATCGGTGGGGACATATCGCAGAATTGCCCTTAAATACAAGCACACTTGAAAGAATCTGAAAGGGAATTGTGTTGAATCTGAAAACTCAAAGTGCATTATTTTTATGTTTTATGTTAATGCGTGAAAAGCAGAAATGGAAGAGTGCTTTTCTTGGTCATGTCGGGTCGATTGTGGAGCTGCGATGTGACTCATTTTTAAAATACAGAAAAGATTTCACTGCAAGTTGCAACACTGAATGAGGCCAAAAATCAATCTCTTATTCATTTTCAGTGCGGTGGCTCCAGGCTGTACATTACCACATATTACACTGTTTCTTTCTCAATTTTGCAGGGTTACCCATGTTCATACATACTAATGAAAAGTCCCTGTTAGTACTAAAGGTACTAATACAACGAAAAACGAATAAAAAACTATGCAAATATTTACGCCTGCTTACAACTTCAAATTTTTCACTTATGGTAATAAGTATAAGCAAGGTAAAACCAAAGGGAAAATAATCTGGGATAAAACACATTGGTTGACAGAGTGTAGATATATAACTATGGTGAATATATAGTCACAGCACGCAACAGCATATATGTACATTTAGATGGTACTCACCTTGAAGAGCTCGTGTCTTAGATCCAATAAATAATACAATAAGGCAGCAAGTGTGCTCGTCGTCTCAGATAACAAAAAGCAGAGTCCCTGCAGGGGCTGAATGCTGCTCTGCACACAGAGGTTTCAGAGACATACAACATGTCGCAAGTGACCGTCCTCAATATCAGCGAGGTCCGCCTCGCTTTTATGTAAAGTGAAGGCAGGAAAGGGGCCATATGAGGTCTCTTAGAAACTAAACAATGACAGCTATAACCTGCGTGTGTTAATGTGCATCTTTTATCTATCTCTCTCTCTATATATATATATATATATATATATATATATATATATATCGCCATGATTTAAACCTGCAGATTTTTTGCCACCAAAGCCCGTTTGCCGCCATGCAGTGTAAACAATGTACACTCAAAACCGCGACAGAGAGACATGGCGGCTGTAGTGTGGTAACTGTTTGCAGCCACATCCAAACTGCAGCGGGGAAAGACGGAGAAGACCATCAGACGGTGGAGGGAAAGAGAGCCGCAGAGGAGAAACAGCCATGATTTTGAGAAGCGGTTCAATCTAAAGGAAAGGGAGGGGATTGAAATCCACTGAGAGTCGCGGATGGCCCAGTGGAAACACTGGAGTTTCACTCGGCCCTGGAAATATGACTGTGTCTGACGCACCGGATGGTCTGCCTGGAAAGTCTGTAGAAAAATAAACGTGGATATTATAAGGTTGGGGCTTGAAATAAAAAACCTGGATGTGCAAGCTGCCCTGTCCTCTCCCTCCCCGGTCTGTGGAGACAGCGAGACAGTGAAAGACAGAGCCCTTCTTAGTTAATCATTTCATCTTCCTTTTTTAAGTACAGGCTAGGAAGCCCCTTTCGGTTTAAAATGTAATTTTGGTTTGGCATATTTTATTTTGAGATCGAATTTTATAACATTTAGAAAAATATCTCATAACTGTTTCGCGAAAAATGTATCCATTAAAGAGGGATTGTATTATGTTCCTAAAAAGCAAATTCGCATACAAAAATGAGCATGTTCTTTAAAATGTCAGGTATTGAATTGAACTCTTTGAAAATTGGGAGATTTTTTTTCTTGTGAATAAAATATTGACTTCGGTGACTCACCAAGAATAGACTATGAGGTGGTAGACAGCGGCATCCATTAAGACACAGAAATTGTCTATTTATTTACTGATGCCACCCACCAGTGTGTATTTGTGTGTTGGCCCATGTTTGTGTATGTTTTTTTGTTTGCGTTGTGGCAGCAGAAGCATGTGGAGCTAAAGACAAAAACACCATCCTAAAGGTCTAGAGCCAGGCATGCTGAGATTCATTTCACCGCCATTCAACTGGAGGAAATATCACAGCAGTCGTGTCCTGCACTCAATGTCACTGTGTGTGTGTGTGTGTGTGTTGGCTTTGTGCACATGTGTATGTGGTTTGTCCGTCTTTGCATGTGTGTGTGTGTGCGCGCGTGCAAAGGTGCGTCCTATCTGAGCTGTGTTCTCTGCCCTCGCTGTTGTGAGGACACATCACCCTGCTGCCCCCCCCCACCCAACCCCCCTCCGACCTTCTGAGTGCCCCGTCGTCACACGGGTGCTGTGGGCGGTTTTACGTCCCATCCTTTCCCCCGGCTGACTGTCAGGGTGGATGAGGGTGCCACCAGAGTCTAAAGCTGACGAGGTGAGACAGCTCCGCTCTGACTGGGAGGGATCTAGTGGACCGAGCACAATCTGCAAACCCCCCCCTTACTCCCCCTCCCTCGGCGCACAGAATAAACTAACACACGTGCTGTTGAGAACAAACCACGGCAACAGTGTATGAGCACCACTATGCAAATCCAGTGGGTATGCATGCGTAATACTTCACTACAGTACAAGTATGAGTCACATTAGAGGGCATAATGGTCCACGAAGCCAGCTGTTTTTTTGTGGGAGAAATTTGAGTAACAACTGTTATATTAAACATAATCATGTAATAATAACCAGTAAAATGACTATTTGTTTTTCACTATTTCGATGGTGCAGACTGTCTAGTTACCTTCCTACTGGTATAACCCCCCCCCCCTCAAAACAACAATCGACTATCCAAAGAAAGCACATGCACACTAGAAGACACAAACCAAACATACCGGAAGAAGGACAAGTACAGAAGACGGGACCGTGAGAGGCAATGAGGGAATAAGCTGTGTCATTGGAACCCGTCCTCAGCTGTAGTTTGTGTAAACGGGGACTGGAGGAGGCAGTGGCTTGTTATCTGGACTGTGTCACATCTTACACCTGCACACCATCTGTGAGTGTGTGTGTGCATAACGATGAGCATGTGTGGGTTTTCATGCTGACGTGGACCTCCATGTGTGTGTGTGTGTGTGGGGAGGGGAGGGGGCGGGGGGGGGGCTTTGCTCTTTCTTCATCAAGACCCAGTATAGACAGACGCCTGGGGTCTGTGCACAACACACACACACACACACACACACACACACACACACACACACACACACACACACACACACACAGACAGACAGACAGGGTTATTGTGATAAAAATGCCTGTTAAAACAAATGTTGGGATAAAGAGCAGGGGGGGAGCGGGTGGGGGGGGGGGGGGGGGGGGGGGGCAACGAGAAGACACAGAATGAGAAAGAGTTTGACAGAAACAGGCTAACGGTGGTGAGGGGAGGAGAGCGCACGAGAGACTGACAGAGCTGGAATAATAGATAGAGGCAGTGACAGAGAGTCAATGTGATGGCGAGACAATAGATGGATAGACGGGCTCCTTCAGGGGCGGGGGGGGGAAAAGGCAAACGCGGCGCATTCTTGTTCAAAGCTGCAGAAGCGTAGTGTCGGAAGCTCTCTGCCTGTCCTTACAGCGCTCTCCCTCTGGTTAGACGATGAATTTGTATCATCGATTAAACAAATGATGTCACCTGTACAAAGTTGCAGCGACTGGAGATTATCAAGCCACGCTTTGGGAAGAATCTGTGAGTAGATGTGAATTGTGACATTCAGAATGAATAAAATACAATTCCTTAGATATTGGACCTAAACATCTACACTGAATTAATGGTAACCTAGAGAAATGCCTGATAGGAAATGTCTCCTCTGTTCTCCTGTGAGTACTTAATGTTTAATAAAATAGTTTGAAACCCCCCCAAAAACATATTCAAGGGGCTTCGTTCTGAAATTTGACACACATCTCATAATACCGAGGGTTGATATTTTATAAATGAAAACGCATTGCCTGCTGTATAATGCGCCAGCAGCCCACTGAGAATCGGGCGTGCTTGTGTGTGGAGCGACCCGTTGGCCTGAGGGGAATTGCGCCGCCGGGGTGGATTCAAAAAGCCTCTCTCCACCAGCTCGTTCATCATCTCTGCATCCGCTGGGACGCACGATGCGAAGGCGCGGCGAGCAGTGGCCTCCTCTGAAGGGTGTCTGATTAATCTGACTGGCGGGAAATGATCGGCGCAGCCTGACATGGCGAGTCGCGGTGACACGTGGCACACGCCGACAAACACACCATACCGCGCGCGGCATCTGCCAGACTTTTTTTTTTTTTTTTTTTTACACGCAGCTCTTGACAAGCTGGGAAAGGGAGAGGAAGCAGGAAAGCTGCTTCTCATGTGAAATGCATCTCGAGCTATTTCCACGGCAACGTGGAATGTCATTTTGAGCGGGGAGAGAAATGGCGGGCGAATGAGAGCAATGACTGCGCGCATCGTAGTGTGTCATGACGTGAAGCCGAAACAATGGCTCCATCATTGGAGCAGCTGGAGGTCCTTTCCCTGATTGCAGCTCCGGAAGGAGAGGCTCGCGGATTCCAGCGACGGAGCTGGGAGGCGATGATGCAGCGAGGTACGTGACCGACGACTACTTTGTTTACTCTTCTCCTCGGCGCCTCTGTACTGAGCCAGGATGAGGATATTGCTCGGATGTCTTTTCTCCAAAAGGTCGGTTTGTTTGACACGGAAACACGCGCGGTGGAACCAGATCGAACAAGCGACCGAGACCCCGTCTTCCCCCATCGATCCAAAACGCCGGCAGATTCCAGTGGCGGGTGGAACCAAACACATCAGCAGGTGTGGGAATTGGCAGGAATGTCACGGGATCAAAGCTGGGGTGAGGGGCGAGTGGGATTTTGTGGGATCTCGGGGGCCGAGCGGAGGAGGCCGGGGACGTAGTTGCTCCCGTGAGACTTGCAGTGTGCACTCTGGGATCTCACCCTCCCCGTGTGCCTCTCACATCCCTACAGAGTGCCGAGGGCCTTTCATCGACCCGCTGTGTGTTTCTTCCAGATGTTGCGAGCCGCTGTTGGCTGGTCTTTTGTGCCGATTTTTGTGACAAATGTCTCTGGGAAGGCGCCACAACAAACACAACAATGGTTTGAAAGGGATCACTAACATACTGCTTTACTTTTAAATGTAGGGATTTATCAGTATGCCTTGTTTCTCTGACGCAGGAAACTGTTTATTAGCTGGAAAACCAGGGCGGCGTGTAATGAAGTTGGCGAGGAGCGTGTAATATTCATAAGCAACACCCCCCTGGACCTTGACACGACCTTCAATCCATTGCTCGGGATAATAATGCTGATAATACTTTGCACTTTGCAGCCCATTCTTAAGACAAATGTCCATCCTTGCAGGGGACCATCAAAGGATGCGCTCTCCTGGAAGAGATCTGGTAGGTATCATACCGATAATAAGGACGATATGGCAGGAAAAATGAAATCAGGTTTTATCTGCTGGATGAGAGAAATCGGTTTCAGTCCTCTTTATCTGATATGCAAGTTCTCTGACAGGAAATGAGGGATTGACTCAGAGTTCATATTTCATCCACACGTACACATATGAAAACATAGGCCTTGCTGGCTAATCCAGGCTAGCTCCAGCAGCCCTATGTGGGGGCAGGGGGGCTGGTCTAATCCTGTTATCGGGCCCAACAGATGCTGTTGACAGAACAATAGGCAGGGGGCCAGTAAGGCAGCCCGGCTCGAGGAGGTCATGAGCCAAACTCATCACAGCAGCAGCAGGATCGCTGGCTGGCTGCAGCAAGCTGGACTCGTCGCTCGTCACACACACTGGCTCTCGCGGGCCGAACGCTTTGCCGCAACAGCCGTTCCAGAGTGACTTGTTAACGGCCAGTTCCATTTTTGCTTTGTTTGCAGCGCGAGTGTGCATACAGTGACACTCCTGATGGCTTTTGCACACAAAGTCTGTATTTTGCTTCCAAAATGGTTGCATGTTTCAAAACAAATACCAATGTATTTTTCTTCCAGAATTATGCCAAGTTTATAAATAAATACAGCCTCATGTATGAATCTGATTTATGCACCAACTCTAAAAACTGTCCGTCGAAAAGGTTTGTTTGGCACCTTTCAGAGTGGTTTAACCGCTGCGAGACGTCGCAAATGCAAACGTCATCATCGGATGAGCCGATTCAATTTGTCTCCCAGGACTAAGCACAGAGTAAAGAATAGATGCGTGAGTCTAAAGAGAAATGGTGGGAGCTAAATGACAAACAGCTTGGAATCCGGGACGGTTGCAACACAAAGGATGTGCGAAAGATCAGGCTGTAGTTATGGTGCTCTACGCAGCAGACCGATGGCGTTTAAGGGAAGTACAGCATCAGCTTCGTTTGGGCCTATATCGCAATCCACTGCACCCATATAATGAACATTTGCTTTGTTTCGAGAGCTACCTCACCATAATAAAAATAGATGAATATATTAGATATAGATTTGTACATGTGGGTCAAATGGTAGATAGAGTGAAAAAACGTAACCATTACTTTGCAGTTATTTTCTGTACTGAAAACCAGATAAAAAGGTTTATGAAACCTTTCTTCTGGCCCAACAATACATTTTCATATTTATGGCTTTTTTTATTGTTTCCTTGTCTTCACACACAACCCCACCGGAATAAACATCCACAACTGTATATAACTATCCAAAATGCTATGTATTCAAATTGCATGCCTTTTCTATTTTAAGCAACATTTTTCTCCTTTTGAGGAAAAGTTAGTTACTTTTTATCCAAGTTTAGGTCATTTGGCGCTTCTGTGAAGTTGTGTGCTCAAAGTGTGTGTGTGTGCGTGTGCGTGTCTGATAATGGCTGTTAGAGACCTTTCATCCATAGACTCATATAATCACAAAATGCGCCGACGCAACCTGCAACATATACCTAAATCCCTCCCTGTTCCCTTTTAAACCAACAGATGGATTGAGGAAAATTACCGAGTTGATTGCAAAAAAAAAACACAAGGATAATAAAAACTGTGTGTCTGTGATTGACATTTACCATATCAAACTCAAATGAGAGGTGGCACACCTTAATAATGAAAAAAATCACAGCGTCAGAGCAGAAATAACAATGAGGCTGGCTGCGATGATGAGGAACGGTTTTCCTTCCTCCTCCCTGACTTTCTGGTTTGCGTCCCAGTTTAACTAAATCCCATTAAAAAGGCTTTCATCTCACTGCACTTCATTACTGGCATAAATGCTGAGGCTCACCCCAGAGAGAGGCAGGGATTAGATGCGACAAGCTCATCTGAAATGTTACGCTCTCGAACCCCAGCAGCTTTTTTTTTTTTAAAGTAAAGACACTCTTGGATTATCCAGAGAGACCCTCGGGCGCAGAAGGCGTCGTGAAGGTCAGTCCTGCTGTGTAACGTATTGGCTCGTGTGTGGGTGTGTGCGTCTGCATGCCCTCGCACGTGGGATAACAATGTATTGTATTTCAGCAGCAGCCGTCGCTGTACATTTCCTATGAAAAGCATGAAAAGGGCATATAACCGTCATTCCAGGAACATGTGAACCAAAAGAGAAAGACAGAGAGAGGATGGAAATAAAAAAGGAGCTTTACAGGCACGAGCAGGCAAAGCGGGAGGAGGGACGACATTGGGGCGGGAGCTTGGTATTGTGTGTGTGTGATTGGAATGTGACGGGTCAGAGGCTTTCACACACATTTCTGAATGCTTATTTTAAGCACAGCTCGAGCTCGGCTAATCGTTACCGCTCGCCTGAATGAGGGTGCTGATTAAAAGCTAATTATACGCTACAGATTTGGCCTCTGGTGAAGACTCCGCTGATTTGACGCGGCTTGGACTGCGGCCTGGGCGCGCGCCCGCAGGCTTCAGCTGCAGATAGCCGTGCGTATGTGTCCACAAATCAGAGGGGAACAAGACATCAGCATGCATGACGGATGCTGTGAGGTTTGTGTTCATAGCAGCGGCGGAATGTAACCAATTCCATTTACAAGTCCATTTGCGAGTATATAATTTTGAGGTACTGAGCTTGATTATTACCATTTTATGGCACTGTCTACTTCTATTCCAACACATTTCTAGTTTTTATCTCACAACATTTATGAGGCAGCTTTGGTTACCAGATACTTTCCAGTTTGATGCGAAAAACAATAAAACATAAAATAACTTTTTTGCATTTTTTGGTGTTAATATAAGACATTGGTCAGTCGACTGAATCATGAGTACATTTCCTTTAACACTCCAAAAATGGGAAACTTTTGTGGTGAATAAAGCTTAAAAAAAATGATTCAGGATTACTTTCAACGTAAGGCAGATTTCTGTTGTCGGTCAACACATTTTTTGGACAAAGACACGTGATTACCATGTTATGCTGATACAAATTTTGTGGGGGAGAATGTGTGCAGGAGTGTTATCCATCCGCTAGCGCCTTTACAATGTTGAAACCCTGGTGTACTTCCTTGTAAGACATAGTTTGACGTCATGCAGTTAGTGGACACATTCTGCAAGTAAAAGACTCAATGTCTTCAAAACAGTGTAATGGCATCTCTGCTAAAAATAGACCATCTTCCATCGCACCACAAGGTACCTGCTCTGTCAGGCTCAAGCTAGCAGCAATGTTTTTAGAATGGGTATGTCCTATTTTCTATGCACTGTATGTACTGTATGTTTGGTCATCCTGCTGCAGCTGCATTTTATTAGTGTGATGATTCTGGAAACTGTTCTTCTGACACACTAGGGCCTTGTGACGCATCTGAATGCATTTTGCAGCTTCTTTCAAGCTCTGTTGGTGGTCTCATGCTATATTGAAAACTCACGTGACAACCAATCTTTTTTACGGCTTTCAGTTGGTTGATCAACTTGACATGACAGTGTATACAATTGTATTTAATTACCTTTTTAATGAAGTTGGTATTTTATTCTAGTGTAAATACATAACTATCATTTTATATTCATAGAGTATGACAGTAATATTTTGGATTGTTGGTTTACATGATGGTTATCTATATACTTCTTTAAAGCTGTGAATCCAAAGTGTCCAACGCCTGCCACACGTCCCTTTTCAATTCTAAATAGCTCAACATTTGAGGATGTTGCTGTGTGACGGGCTTTTATTTATATCAATCTCTACATGAACTCTTCCAGACTTTCTCCTTTCTCTCCTTTTGGTTCCACCGCTCCGTCACACAGACAGTGAGGGGTTAATATTCCAAATGAATGCAGCGGCAAAGAAAAAGAGAGTGAAATCCTTCACTGCCTGTTAGCATCTCGTCGTTGACATCATTACTTCTCTGACGGGGCGATGTTCCCTGGCTATGACCCTCCCGCAGGAACCAACACCGGCGCAACACAACAACGCACGCGGAAAACAAGGCGTCGCACAGCCAATGGCCAACAGGGTGTCTTACTATTCTATTTATGTCTCAACCACTGACCCAGAACACGTAAATGCATTATAGATTTCTTGCAGCTTTAAATCAGAGATATTTATTTTCCTTCTGATCCGACAAATAATGGTTGATGTTGATGAGGGTTGGAAAGTAGTTGACCTGAGCTTCATTTCCATGTGTGTAGCAGGTTATTACAAACCTATTTACAAACATTTTTGTTGTTGTCTTAATGTGTTGTGACATTAAACACGGCCAGTCGAAAATCAGCTTCTACTGCTGATCTAAAGACAGAACCGCAACAACGTACAGCTTGTTGTCAGCAACAGGGAGCACTACATGCTCGCCCTCATGTCAAGGACAAGCTCATTCACAGATGGATCACACCTGGTCACTGGCTACATGTTTGGGGCTGTGTGTGTGTGTGTGGGGGGGGTCGGTAAGTTGTTTGAGAGCTGGTGTATGACTGGAGGCATCTTGACAACTCCAACTGTCCCTCTCTGAGTAACATTTCTCCCTCCCTCTCTCTCTCTCTCTCTCTCCTCCCCAACTCCTCCTCCACCTTTCCTTGCCTATCTTTATTATTAGTGGCAGCTAGAGGCAGCGGACCGGAAAATTCCCATCGAGAAACAAACCCACATCTGCATATTATAGCCCTGTTTCACATCTGCCATGACCGAATAAATTAATACATGAATAACAATGAAAATCACCCATGAGTCGCCCCGCTGGCTCTCTAAATGGCATTGCGTGTGTGTACGCATGTCGGTGTGTGGGAGGCAGGAGCTGTGGTTGTCTCTTTTGGCCACGCTCACCAGGGAGCTTAAGGTATTTGCATAGAAATCCAAAGAAACGGCATGCAGCACCGTGGCAGAGATCACACGTCAGGTGCATGAATGTGACGGCATGGGAAACATCACATGTGCAGTGGTTAAGATCATCATACTTAACACATGAAAACACAAATCTGCTTTATTGACAGTTTCTGTCCTATTGAATGTTTCCGTCTTTGATTTAGGGAATTTAATTCTTTGTTTCAGTTGTGTAATGTTGTGAATAAGGAAAAGTTTAAGCTAAACTAAAACAAATGTACGATTGTTTTTGCTCTTTTAATTTTGTTCTTTTGTTTTTTCCTGTTCAAGATTTTGAACGAGGGACGCGGCTGACAACCATTCGGTCTCTTATTCACACAACTACAGTCTCAAATGAACCTTTCCTGCATTTCTTTGGTGTGTGGGAGGAGGCCGGAGTGCCGGAGAGAACCCACAGACTACTCACAAAAGCTTTCCTGCTAAAGTTCCCTCCTTACAACTTCAGAACGTGAGTCGGCATCTCGTCCTGCAATTTGGCTTAACGGGTATCCAAACAAACATCCAGGTTTATTAAGCTGGTCCGCATCAAACAGCGTGTAAAAGTACCAAATATCCCTCCTCTCCGTTTAGCAGCTGGAGGTCCTTACCCCTCAATGCCACGAACAAGGCTCTGCCAAGTGCAAGTTTGATTACTTTGTTCCTCATTCCCCTGCTGGTGCTCAGCCTGCCATAGGATATTTCATGAAATACCCTTTATTCTTTGTATTCATGACAAAATGACAAAATGACCTGTAATGTAATGTAATGTAATGTTGTTGATGTGCTGCTATCTCTTGGGTTTAATCTGTGCCTTACTAATAAA